AATGATCTTTCTTGTTGCCTTTAGATGCATGAGCAAACCAACTTTACGAGGTCTTTTATTTGCCTCTCTAAAGAGAACCTCCCATCCATTCTTCCATTTAACTACTTTCCTTTTGTCCTTTAGTTTGATTTATGTGGTGCAATTCAATTCCTGTAGTAAAATGTCCATTTGACAAGAATCTCATATTTAGAGTAATAACATCTGTCAGTATTCATAGATGGCCTAAAGACTGTGATGCTGTGTACCCTCTGCCCTTTTTCTGCAACTCTGTCACTATTGCTACCAAAGTAGAATGGTGCCTTAGAGAATCTAGGGTCATTTTGTATTTTTCTTTATTATATGGATTACATTACCAAAAGGTTCATCATTAAGTAGCCAGTCTACTAGTGATGAACTTCTCCATAGTCATAGTTGGATCCCCAGAAAATGGATATAACATATTGCTATGGCCATACTTAAAAAACTTTCTAGCAAAATATCTGTTCTACTTGTCTAGCCTTGGGAACTCAGAGTAGGAACCATAACATAGTATGGCATCAGTGGAGTACTTTGTGAGTGACAGAATCTTCTAAAAATTAAATAGTTTGTGGAGCTTTTTTGCTAACATAGTATTTATACCTCTCCCTCAATTTTTTTCTATTTGTTGTAAGCCAACAAGGATTAGAAATTATATTTTTAAGTAATGAGAGCAAATTGCCATGATCGCTTTATGTGTTTTTAAATTTTCGTTTTTATTTTCAGTTCCAAATTCTCTCCTTCCATCTACCCTCTCTCCCACCCATTGAGAAGGCAAGAAATATGATACTCATTATACATATGAAGTCATGCAAAACATATTTCCACATTAGCCAGATCATCATTATATTTTATTATTCTCCAAATCTATGTGATTTTCTTGGATTGCCATGCATTTTGTATATTATGTAATGTGAAAAATATTTAACTTTGTGGACTTGAGAAGCAAATGCAAATTTATTATCCCCAAACTTCATGTGATTAAAATTTTTCCTCTAATACTCCTTAACATTTGCATGACATAACCTGAATATTGAGGAAATAAAATCTTTAGTTGCTCTTACTCTCATCATCCTACATTTTCCTCTTCAAAAGAGGAACATTTAATTAAATTTAAAATTAAATTTCCCTTGTCATTAAATATATATACCTACATTTGTGTCTATCATATTTGATAAGTAAACACAAAACTTTCCTATATTTAAGTTCTGCTATTCTCATCACAGATGCAAATTATCATTTAATTTAACCTCATTTCTTTGAGCAACTTTCTCTCTAACCCATCTGTTTTAACACTTTCACTCTTACTTGTTCTTGCCTCTGTATGCCTTTGCAGGGTAGTTTCTATTGACCTGTCAGTCTCAGAATAATGTAAAATTGGACCAAATTTGCGTCTTTTGAAAATGATGTTACTAATCTTTATGTCTCTCCATGCCCCAAATCACAATAGATGTTAAACTTTCTAATTTTTTCTTTATAATAGCATAAACATATAAAATATTAATATCAAAATGTCTAAATTAAATTAAAAATCCAAGTTGGGATTAAATAAAACAAAAAAAAAGGAACTTGGATAGTTTTATGGCCCCAAGTTCTGTCATAGTGTCCTTTCTTCCTTAAATATGACATTATAGCAAAGTCTTATTTTCTTCTTATTTTATCTGTAAATATTTGTGGTAATGTTTTGTTTAATTATTGTAATTACCATGACTTCTGAAAAATACCATAGTCTCTAACTGAAATGAGGCATGCTTTCTTCACTAAGAAAAATCTGAAAATGTATAATAATGAATTATAATTTTATTTTATGGGCTTTTCTTCTCTTTGAGTTTAAATGTGAGGAATCATTTAATATGAAATTAAGTCAAGTTCTGACTTTAAAATGAGATTTTATTGTGTATTAGGAAAATGATTGCCCTTCTAAAAGGTTGCAAGTAATTATCCTGGGAATCTGGTGTTGTTCTCTTAAATCATTTTCTTCATTATCAGATATGTTTAATAATTTCTTTGATATATATTATGAAATTTTAGCAGCAGTACTTAATTTTTTCATTAAAGTAATAAATAATTTCAAGTAAATATTTAAAAAATATACTTTCCCCCCTATGGCTGATAGAAGTGTTTTTCTTAGAGCAATACAAATCATTCATTATAAGTCAAATATGCCATTTTAGGGAAAATAGCATTTTAAACCTATAGTTTTCCATAATTGTTCTCAGTTTCTGTGAAAATTCACTATCAATATGTTCTCTTATCTAAAAGTTATCCAGACCCTGTGCTTTGCTTCTTTTAGACATTTTATGGCATGTTGTCACATATACCAGAGGTTGAACAGGACAAATGATGTTCAAACTGTTAAGTTTTTAATGAACCATCTAGCAACAATTACTTCTTCATGTTTGCTTTGATTTTCTAATAGTATTTTTCCTCTGAGATTCTCTCAAATTCAGGTTGCTTTACAAACATTAAGCTGGACATAATCACACTCAAGTGATTCAGGTAACTGACTGGTATCAGGTAAACTGACATCCAGACATGGGAGTATTTGCCCAAGTTCATATGGAAGAAACTTAATATAATGCAGCATCTGGGAGTACAAGTCTTCTTTCTTAACATGGGATAATAATAGTACCTACCTCAGAGAGTTTTTATGGGGATGAAATTAAAAGATAATATATGTACAACATTTTGCAAACCCTTAAGTGCTATAGAAATATGAGCTTTTTTTACTACTTAACATAATATTCAAAGGTATCATAACTGTAATTTTGAACTTTCTCAGGCCTCCATGTTCCAAATTTGAAGTGAAAACCAAAATTTTTCACCCCTGAAATTTAATTTATTAAAGGAATAAAATACAGTGAAACTTTATTGATAGTGACTACCTTTTGACAAGAGTAGAGCAAAGTAGAGTTAGAGAAATACATCAATAAGAAACTATCTGTATCCTAATTCTGCCTTACCTAACCTCTCTGAACTCTCAGCAAGTTGATTGCATGATGTTAACCTCAAAGAATTATACCTTTAGAGGTTAAAAGAGAACATAGAGGTCACCTAGTCCAACCACTGCATTTTATTGTTGAGGAATTGAGGTATAGCAAAACTAAGTAATTTGCCCCAGGTTAGACAGGTAGTAAGTAGCAGAATCAGGATTGGAATTGAGGTCCTCTGAATGGAAATCCAGCATTTTTTCTACTGTCTCTCATTTCTAATACCTGATTAAATTGAGCGAGGTAGTGATAGTGAAAATAGTGGCTGCAATTAATATTTATATTTATGACAGTTTTTGTCTAGACAATCTGAATGAATACAGGATTGTAAAAGTCAGCTATTTTAAGTAAATTCTGTTATAATTAAAAGTAAATAAATTTATCCTTCATTGATGCCATATTCGAGAAGTTTCTTCAGTATTCATCCAGAAATGAAATATTGTATCTATCAAAACTTTCTCATTAAGTTTTCCTATAATTGTTCTCAGTTTCTGTGAAAATTCACTATCAATATGTTCTCTTATCTAAAAGTTATCCAGGCCCTGTGCTTTGCTTCTTTTAGACATTTTATGGCTTGTTACATATACCAGAGACTGAGCAGGACAAATGATGTTCAAACTGTTGAATTTTCTACTTCTTTGTCCCAGGTTTTATGAAGAAGGCTATGGAAATGATTGGTTAAAGTGAGATTTGATGATTATCTGTAGATTACAAAGACTTGTTCTGTCTCTGTCACCTATTTGCATAGATGCTCAATAATTGCCTGATAAATTGTTTTTCACTTGAGTTCGGGAGGAATATCATAATTTCATCAAGAGTCTAATAAATTCTGTTCCTCTAACTCTCCTCCAAGAGAAAAAAATGAAAAAGAAACATTAAAGGAGAGTACCTCTACCACCAATTTGACAGTAACCAAACGGCAAATAGGAATAAGACTAGTACAATGGATAATCAGTGAATAACTTATTGTATGTAATTCACCAGCATCAGACAATCAAAAGTTACTCAAAAGCCATACCATAATATTAAGCAGCCACGCTTATAGTTCAATTTTTCATACCATTTCATCAGACTTATAAATGTAAGGCACATTTGATGTAATAGCTTGACAAACACCTTTTCCAAAAACTCCATATTAAAAGTATTTCAAATTTATTATCGTGTTACAGAAAGAGTCCAGTTTAAAATGTCAGAAAAGAAAGCAGTCTAAATTGATCTTCAGTGACTCAAGGATAGCTGGATTATACATGTATTTTATTAAAAGGAAGGGGGCATATTGTGTAATATATTATAATAATAGCTAACACACATATTGTACTTTAAAGTTTATGAAGCACTTTACATGTGCTTGTTTGAGCCTCACAGTAACCTTGTGAGGTAAGTACTACAGATACTCTTATCCCCATTTTACAGATGAGGCTCAGAGAGGTTATGGCACTTGCTCATGGTCACACAGCTAGTAAGTGTCATAGGCGGGATTCAAACACATGTATTCCTCATTCCTAGTCCAACACTCTGTCCACTATGTCCACTCCCTCTGTTATAATTTAGGATGCCATTGGCTTGTGCATGAGTTGCATTTTATCAAGAAGTATGCTCCTTGATTGAATGCAATGGCCAATCTTGCCTCTGGAGGACCAGTGATACTCACTTCCCTCCTCTCAGTAGAGAAGTGGTGGACTCCAGGTATGGAATGTTGCATATATTATCAGGTGCAGTTGCTGTGATAGTTGATTTTAACTGTTTTTCTCTGTTCAAGGGAGGGTTCTGTTGGGGGCTCTGGGAAGTAAAAGTAATATGAAAACAAAAAAAGCATCAATTAAACATTTTTAGTTAATAAAATGATATGGCTTGGGTTTTTTTTTTTAGTTTCCATGCATCTAGTGATATTGTTGCATGTAACAAAAATTATGTTGCTCATACAATCATTATGAACCCTTGTGGCTTTCTAGTAACTTTATTTTCCATGTCAAATATATTAATTTATTTTTGTAGATTTCCATGTAGAAGAGGCACTGGATTGGCCTGGCGTATACCTCCTTCCAGGACAGGTTTCTGGGGTGGCCCTGGACTCCAGTAACAACCTGGTTATTTTCCATAGAGGTGATCACGTTTGGGATGGAAAGTAAGTTAATATTTTTTCATGGGATAAATTGAAAAGATAATTGGATATGTCATTTTCCTTAAAAATTGGGGTGAGTTGGGAAGAGTAGTTAACAATTCTTCCTGTTCTTCATTTTCATTTCACTTTCATTTTCAAGGCAAGATAACTACCACTTATATACATATAATATATATACACATACGTCCATGTATATACATATATACACACATACACATGTGTAGTACCTACTGTGTGCCTCTTTGTTGCTCACTTGGTAATAAATAGTGGAAGGAAGGTAGACAGAATTCTGTGAAGGGATAATGAAAAACTATTATTTATGTTTTCATGGAAAGTAGGGAAAACATCTTTATCAAAGAAAACATTTATTTGAAATCAAGATTATATGTATATATGTATATTACATGTATATTTATATGGAAAACAGGCATTCTGACTAAAAACAAGTGAAGAGCAGGACTCTACTATTACTGTTTGACATAGATTTAGAAATGATAGCTAAAGTTATAAGGCAAGAAAAAAACTTAAGGGAACAAGCATTGATAAAGGTAGTTCACGAATTCAATAGATCTTAAATCATCAATATGAATATTCCTTCTATTGGTGCCAGTCAGACTGATCCATCCATGACTTTTAATTTGCAGCATTCTTGTCCGTATTGTCCCACAGATCCTTCATAAATGTTGTACTCAGAATGCTAAAGACCTAATGCAGAGTCAATAAAGCTCCATTATTCTTTTGTTTGTAATATTCTTACCTGAAGTTACTTTTGTGCCTGTTGTTTTTCAGAGGGGTTAATACTAGTATCCTGTTAAAAAAATATAGGTTTTTTTTTAATAACCAGAACTCCATTTTTGTACATAAAGTGAGTTAATCTTGCTGAATTTAGTAATAAGGTATCATAATTACTAGGAAAGATTAAGTATTTGCTTCAATGTATGGCTACAGTATTATTTTCAAGTTATTCTGCTTATATCTTTCGTGTAGATTGATCAGTTTTAATCAATTCTATGTGGCAGTATATTTGACTATGATTAGTACTACTGGAAGTTAAAATCATTTTAATGACCATTTATTAAGCACCTGCTTGCTGTGCAAGGTTTACAAAACACGGTTCTTTCTCTCATGGAACTTATAATCTAGTTGAGGTAAATGAGACATACATTTAGATAACTGTAACATGAACATACGTTCATTAACAAAGTACCAGTAAAGGGCTGCATGAGGTCTGAGCGGGACAAATTTTTAGCTTTAAATATAAACATTTCTCTTATTTGCCTCTGACTCAAACCGACTTTCAAACCCTGTCTGTTACCATTCCCTTTCATGAAGGCTGTGGTCTAGCCAAAGTGGACTATTAGACCTTCCTTGAAGTTAACATTCAGTATACTATCTCCATACATTTGCACACGATGTGGAGAATGTATTCCATTCTCACGTGTGCTTCTTGTGACGTAGGTCTTCCTTCCTTCAGGATTTAACTCAGATACTACATCCTCTGTAAAGAGTGCACTCCCTTTCTCTCCTCAAATCCTTCATTTTTGTCTTTGTATCCCTAGTATCAGCACAGTGCCTTGCACGTGGCAGGAAATTGAAACGTTTCTTGAATTGAATTGAAAAGATCATTATCAGCTAGAGCAGAAATAAGGAGAATGAAGGAAGGGAGTAGTAGTGTTAGGGAAGGCTTCATAGAAGAGGTGACATAGGTTAAGTTTTAAAGGATGTGTATGAATTCACCACTTGGAAGAAGAAAAAGGAGGAAAAGAAATGGCAGGAGCCTACGTACAAAAGTAGGAAAGCACGATTCTGGTTTGGGGGACAGGAGATAGTCCAGTTTGGTTGGAGTCCAGGGTCCGTTGAGGGGGAGCAATATGAGATATGACTGAAAAGGTAACAGTGCAAAATAGAGAAAAGCCTTGAATGCAAGGCATAGTTTGAATTTCACTTCATAGGTGATAGAGAGTCACTGGGGATGTTTAGCAAAGGGGTAACATGATCAGATATATAAACAAAGATTAGTGTGCCACTGGTGTGAATGAGAAAGAATCAAGGTAGACATACTGTGAAGGTAGAATTGACAATACTTAATAATTGGTTGTTATAGGAGAGAAGAAGGCAGATTCCGAGATGACAGACTTTGAATGTGTATGTTGTGTTATAAACAGTTCTATTGCTACATTCATAAAAAGAGCCTATAGGTATAACATCGATAATTTAAAATGAATTCCCAATATCTGATTTTACCCTGACCATGAGTGGGGTAAGGCTACTTCTCTTCCTACCATCCTTTCTCTTAATTTCTGTCTCCATTCCTTCTTTTTCTTATCTTTTCATCCTATCTACTTCCACTATCTCCTTGGTTTTTTTTAAGACTGCAAGCAAATCAAGCAAGATTATTAAAGCTTGCCCTAAATTCTGAATTTTGGCATATTCTTTGAATTTCACTAAATTGTCAATATAACACCTCATTCTAAACCATTTTATGCAATCCCATGAGAAGTAGTCTTACAGATAAAGGGAACCTTTGTAATGTCTTCTGAATAATACTAAATAAATCTTTCCTTCTTTCATTTATAGTAATAGACTGTTTGGGGAGTGTCAAGGTCTTTGTTAGGTTTAATTGATGGTTCCTTATTTTTGAGAGATATTGATTTAAGCTTTTCCAAAACACTGTGTGTGTGTGTGTGTGTGTGTGTGTGTGTGTGTGTCCCCTCCTTGATGCCTTTTCATAACAGATTAGAAGCTTTTTAATTGGTCAGTCATCTCTTAAGTTGTTTTTTTTATCTTGAAGTCAGGAAATAACATTTCAAATTTCAAAACAGACAACTGAATATAACATTTTGATTCATGTGTTTTTGTTATATCTTTCTAGTCATTTTAAAGGCCCTAATGATATTTTTTAACAAATTAATTTAAAAGTAATCCATTGGTACAAGATTTTGTACTTTCTTCACTTTAATGAAACTTCCTATATTTTCCAAATGGATTTCCAGCCACATTTTACCCAACAGGAAAATTACAGTACCATTTCCAACTATGACTGAAGCTAAAGGTGCAGTTTCCTATCTTATGTCATGGCTGTTCTAAGTAAATATCAAGCAAAAGTCACCCTAGGTGAGTAGATACTGCTTTACAAAACAAGAACCATCCATAGAAGAATGGATTCTGGAAATAATAATAACAGTAATAATACTTAAATTCTCTGAGTAACCATGATTTTTCACAAGTGTATTTCATGTGATATTCCTTTTGCCAATGCAGACTTGAAAAATGATATTTTGGAAGTTGCTGTAACCAAAATAATCATTACCCTGTGACCAATCTTTTGGTGATAAGTCCCTCCAGATTTAGCTAGGCTGGTCCAGAGATAATAAACACAATTTCTTGCCAAGCTTGTAATCTAAAACTTTACAGTAAGATAGGACCTGCCAGAGCTTTTAGTATATCACCTATAAAAATCCAGGGTGCCTCCCACAACCCCATAAGACATTGGTGTAGGACACTAGTAATAAAATACACATCTATGTAACAATTTAAAATACTTTAGAGCCATTTATAGTTTATAAAATACATTCCCATATCTCTGTTTATTATTATTCTCATTTTACCAAAAAAAAAAAGATTTAAAGAGATGATGTTGTTAACCCAGTGTCACACAGATAGTAAGTGGCAAAACAAAGATACTGACTCATTTCCTTATTCCAAATCTTTCTCTCTCTCTGCTATACTATACATCACATAAGTGTTGATTCAAGCCAAACAAAATCCATTAATTTAGGAATCCAGGTGTTATCTAGATTACCATTTGTAAACAGAATGCAGTTTCTTTTTTTAACTTGAATTTTATTTTTAATTTATGGAATAAAACAGACATTTCTATAACATAGTACAGTAAAAAGATGATTGTACATGAAACTCTAAATCTGCTATGCTGTTTGTGTGTGTATGTTGTGCCTATGTGTGTCCTCCCCAATGCCCTTTCAAAACAGATTAGAAGCTTTTTAATTGGTCAGTTGTCTCTTAAGTTTTTCGATCTTGAAGTTTGGAAATTAAAGCATTTCAAATTTCAAAGCAGCCAATTGAACACCACATTTAATTCACTTGCTATTCTTGCTTTTCCTTTCAAACTTGCTATTCCTTTCAAATACACAAAAAAGTATCATGTAAATTTCTGGTTTTTTTCTTTCCTCCCACCCCTACCCTAGAGATGGCTACCATTAGACACAAATAGGCATATGTGTGTGTGTGTGTGTGTGTGTGTGTGTGCGTGTAAAATTATTTTATACATATTTCTGTTTATCACTTCTTTCTCTGGATGCAGATAGCATCTTTCATCTTATGTCATTTATAGTTAATTTGGGTATTTGTAATAGACAAAATAACTTATATGGTCAAATTCATTCTGAAAACAATGTTGCTGATACTGTATGCAATGTTCTCTTAGTTCTATCCATTTCATTCTTCATTATATCATGCAAGTCTTTCCATGTTTTTCTGAAATCATTGAACTCATCATTTCTTATAGCACAATAATATTCCATCAAAATTATATATCACAGCTTGTTCAGCCATTCCCCAATTGATGGGCATCCCTGTAATTTCCAGTTCTTTGCCACCACAAAGAGAGTTACTGTAAACATTTTGGAACATATAGATTCCATTCCTTTTTCCCTACTCATCTTTGGAAATAGTTCAAGTGGTGGCATTGCTAGGTCAAAGGGTATCAGTAGTTTAATAACTCTTTGGGCATAATTCCAGATTGCTCTCTAAAATGGTTGGATCATTTTACAATTCCACCAACAATGAATTAGTGTCCCAATTTTTTCCACATCCTTTCCAATGTTTGTCACTTCCCCCTTCTGTCATTTTATCCAATCTGACAAGGTTGTTTTAATCTGAATTTCTCTGATCAATAATGATTTAGAGCATTTTTATATGACTATAAATTGTTTTGATTTTTTTCATTGGGAAACTGCCTGTTCATATCCTTTGACCATTTATCA